AAAAAAAGAAAAGAAAAATTCTCAAGAGTGGAAATGTTTGTGAATACTTACTTTCAAGACTAACAAAATGTGTTCTAAACTGCTTCCTAAAAAAGCTACACATTTGTTCAGTTACCTAACAATTGACACAGAGAAGATAATTAATAGAGACTTCTTCAACGAATGAATGATTTTCAACAAGGTTTTTTTGTTTGTTTTGTTTTGAGACGGAGTCTCGCTCTGTCACCAGACCAGAGTGCAGTAGCGTGATCTCGCCTCACGGCAACCTCTGACTCCTGGGTTCAAGTGATTCTGCCTCAGCCTCCCAAGTAGCTGGGATTACAGGCATGTGCCACTATGCCCAACTAATTTTTGTATTTTTAGTAGACACAGGGTTTCACCATGTTGGCCAGGATAGTCTCGATCTCTTGACCTCATGATCCTCCCGCCTCGGCCTCCCAAAGTGCTGGGATTACAGGCAAGAGCCACCATGCCTGGCCCTTCAACAGGGTTTTAACAATTTATGCTGCAACTTGTGTTATACAATAGTGCCAGCTTTGAGCACTAAATCTTCAGTTTGGGCTGATAAATGGCATAAAATAATGGTTTCTCAAGGTTAGTAGTTCTGTTTCTTGTAAAGTTGTAATTTGGAGGTAGCATTCTTTCCTCCTTCAACCACTACAGCTAAGTGGTTGTGGAACTCACTCTCAAGGCTAACATTTCTCTAGATGATTTTCTCCTAACTGCTTTGCTTCAACAGGTTTCCATTCACTCATTCTCAACTACAGAAACACTACAACTCAAATTTATCTTCTAAGTTGCCAGGCGAATGTTTTTCAAGTATACACAAAATTCTTATACGCTGACAAATTTAAACTGTCACTCTGTTTTGCAATAATCTAATGGTTTTGTTTCATTTCTTTACCTTTACAGGTAGTAAATACTTTAGATTCTGTAAGCCACACAGTCTCTGTTGCAACTACTAAAATCTGTGTATGGCCAAATACACAGATACTCCATCATCCTATATTAGCCTAAAGACCTCATGAAGAGATGTGGGCTGCTAAGCCCGGGCCACTAACTCACATCTCTCTCGGCCCCTCATTGATCACTCCCTGGTCAACGTAACATATTCCCTCAGAAACGGCACTCCTGGGCAGGGAGTGGTGGCTCACACCTGTAATCCCAGCACTTTGGGAGGCCAAGGTGGGTGGATTACCTGAGGTCAGGAGTTCGAGACCAGCCTGACCAACACGATGAAACCCCATCTCTACTAAAAAAAATACAAAAATTAGCTGGGTGTGGTGGCACATGCCTATAATCTCAGCTACTCCGGAGGCTGAGGCAGGAGAATTGCTTGAACCCGGGAGGCGGAGGTTGCAGTGAGCCGAGATTCCACCACTGCACTCCAACCGGGGAAACAAGAGTGAAACTCCGTCTCAAAAAAAAAAAAAAAGAAAGAAAGAAAGAAAAAGAAAAAGGAATAGCGCCCCTCACACAGTCTTCCTCCTGGAACCTTCTAGGTTCCCTCCACTTCTACCACTCACTGCCCTCCTAGTCCTGCAGCTCCTAGACTCGAATGCCTTTGCCTCTATTCCCCTTTAGTCACATGCTTGCAGTCTTGTTCAGTCTTTGGACCTTGGCATTATCAGAAAAAACTTTTTGCTTCTTCAGTCTTAAACTTGATTACTCTCTTCTCCCACTACAACTTTCTCCCTTATAGTACTTCTAGTTCTTTCTCCCCAGAGACCCATTTGGCAGCTTCATCAAAACCTCCAGACCTGATGTATCAGATTCTATCCTTCTGCTACTCCTTTGCTACAAAACTCATGGTCATCCCACAAAGCAAAACCCCAACAACCCCATGCTCTGTGCTCACCCGCCAGCTACAGTACTACTGGAAGAGGTCATTTGATTGTGTGATCCATTGCCAATATATGTCAGCTGGACCCACAGCACCCCCTGCAACCATCTTCCACAAGTCTCTGGTTAGCTGTCACCCATTCTTCACGGCAGTTATTTCAAACCTTCAATGCTCTCCTAAAGCCCCACTTCTCTACTGGCGCTCAGCAAACCATTTACCCAGAGAAAAGCCAGCAGGCAGGAAATCCCTCAAATCTGTCCCTGCTTGCACTCATCTGCATCACTACCCATCTTCATCTCCTTCATTTTCATGCTTGTGTAAGATGTTTCCTTCTTCACTTAAGTTAATCCCTCCACCTGGGATGTGAATCATCCTACCTTCCATAGAGCCTTGAGCCATCAACTATTCTTCCTGCTTCTCTCTGACCCTTCCCCTTCTACTTACGCCTCTCAGTAGTTTTTAAAATGTTTAAGTTTTCCCCATGACCCGAAGACACACAACACCCCTCACCATCACCACTACCACACATATGCCAGATACTGATCTTGCTCTTTCCTTTTCTTCACAGGCTATCTTTTAATAAGTTTAATTCTCTGTTTGCTTTTCTTGTATCATATTAATTCTCTAACCTATTGTAGTCTGGCTTCTACCCCCATCACTCCACTGAAATGCCCCTAGCATAGGTCACGAATGACCAGTTGGATACTAATTCCCACGGATGTTTCTTATTTCTTGATAATAAAAACAATAATAATATGAAACACGTATATAGCATTTACTATGTGCCAGGACTGTTTTAAGTACCTTACACATATTTATTAATTTAATCCTCACAACACCCCATGGGTAGGTAATATCATTACTCCCTTTTTGCAGATGAGGAAACCAAGGTTCAGAGAAGTTCAAGTAACCTGTCCAAGTGTATTAGTCCATTCTCACGCTGCCAATAAAGATATACTTGAAACTGGGTAATTTATAAAAGAGGTTTAATTCACTCACAGTTCCACATGGCTGGGGAGGCTTCACAACCCTGGTGGAAGGTGAAGGAGGAGCAAAGTCGTATCTTACATGGTGACAGGCAAAGACGGCGTGTGCAAGGGAACTCTCCTTTATAAATCCATCAGATCTCATGAGACTTATGATCACAAGAACAGCATGTGACCTGTCCCCATGATTCAATTACCTAACACCAGGTCCCTCCCACAACATGTGGGAATTATGGGAGCTACAATTCAAGATGAGATTTGGGTGGGGACACAGCCGAACCATATCACCAAGACTACACAATCTCTCTAAGCACTTGCCACTTTCCAGAAGGAAGCAGGGAGCCTATCTTTTCCTCCCATCTCTCTGACCTCTCTTAGTCTCTTTTTTGCTCTCCTCATCTTCTACCTTGATTTTGACATTCCTTATGATTTTGTCTTTTTGGCCCTCATCTCATGCTGTACAATCTCCTTAAGGTCATTTTGACTCATGGCTACATGCTAATGAACTCTTATCCAGGATGTACCACACACACCTCAAACTCAACAGGTCCCCAACTAAACTTGTCAACCCCAAACCTGTTCCTCCTCCTTTGTTTTCCTTCTTCATTAGAATGGTATCAGTCAGGCACAGTGGCTCACACCTGTAATCTACAACTTTGGGAGGCCAAGTGGGAGAACTGCTTGAGCCAGGAGTTCGAGACCAGCTTGGGCAACATGGCGAAACCCTATCTCTACAAAAAATTTAAAAATTAGCCAGGTGTGGTAGTGTGCACCTGTAGTCCCTACTACTCAGGAGGCTGAGGAGGGAGGATTGCTTGTGCCTGGGAGTATAAGGCTGTAGTGAATTACGATTGCATCACTGCACTTCAGCCTAGGTGACAGTGCAAGACCCTGTCTTTTAAAAAAAAAAAAAAGGAAAAAAAAAGCTATCTTCACTTATTCAGTAGGTGAGGCTAGAACCTGGAAGTCATTTCTTTTCCCTTTAGTTTCCGTACTCTGAGTTCCCTAAGTTATTTATTTATACGTACATGGGTATATACACGTATACCTTTATTCATTATCTCTCAATTCTTTGACTTGAGAATTATTCACTAATAATTGTGAATTATTGAATTATTCACTATCACTTGAGTTATTCACTATCTCTCAATTCTCCTACACTGACGTCGCTCAGCTTATGCTTCCATACTATCCGTGCCCAATAGCCTTACCAGTCTCTCTGCCCTTCTCTCTCTCTCCTGGACGCTCCAAAACTTTCTCTGCTCTACTGGCACTGATCTTTGCCATCATTTCACTTAAAAACTTTCAGTGGTTCCCCACAGCTTTAAGTGTGAATGAGAACTCTAGCATGGCCCATAAGACAATTTACAACGTGGTCCTGCTTAAACATCCAGTCTCATCATTTAGCACTTAGTTGGAGGTGCACACATCTTGAAGAGAGAAGTTAGCTGCTCATTTTCAGTACGCATGCAACCAGCTGCTGCTTACCAAATCATTTTACACTCAAGTCAGTTAAAGCCACAAAGTCTGTTTGTTTCTATAGATCATGATTTTCCTAAAATGTCCTCCTGCTTTTGGACCAAACTGAGGAAGATTAATATTGGGAAATGCTGGTAAATTACTTGGCAGAAGTTTACTGAGCACTCACCTCATAGAGGATGGGAGGTGAGGGAATATTAAATAGCTCTCAGGTTTTGCTTTCTGGTGAAAAAGAGAGATGAGTAGACAAAGCAGATGCTAACTTCCCTCTGATTTACAAGCGCCCTCAGAGTACCACAATGCAGACATCTGTTTCCAAACAATGGAGGTCTGGATGTGAATTAGCCACTCTAAAGGCTGGTATGCAGAAGCCAATCACTTAGCTGGCAAATGAGCCTGAGTGAATACAAAATGGTCATATTCCAACACAACTATCTTAAGGGTCTAAAAGAATCCCAGTTTTCATTTATATTTTAAACAACACAGGGGAAATCATTTGTTAAAGTGGCATTTGCTAATTTGTACACTCTCAAATACCTCTGGTGAATACCAAAGGCCTACAATCTACTAAATAAATCAGCATGTAGTCCAAAGCAGGTGCAAGTGAGAAGCAACAGGAGGTTACTTCAGTCCAGATCAGGGAAGGATGAAGGATGCTGCACGTGTATTTGGTTTTGAATAGTGAGATCCTAAAATGGCGAAGATGGGACTGACGGCCCTCCAGATGAACAGAATGACAACAGTTAAGATCCAGACAGGCAAATGGAAAGCACAACTGGGTAACTTCTAGAAAGCCAGCATGATTGGAACAAATTTCTGTGGAGAAGCTTGAACTGCCTGGTTATAGTGTCTAGTGCTTCCTCCAGAGGCAAGAAGAGACCAGTTACATGCAGGGAAGGTGGGGAAATCCACACAGTCTGCAATCCCTACCCTGTCCAATCATTCATACCTCTTCAACTAGAAATAATTCAGATTTAAAATGTATCTGAAGAAGCATGCCAAGTTTTCAACACTTTCTGGAGCACCCAGTAAGGGTGAAAAGCTTTCACTTTGGCACAAGGCAAAGTTGACTAGCCATGACAAGCCCACTAGGAAGAGTGTGGCCCGAAATGCCTGGGGTGGGAATGATAAGTCAACAGGAAGACAGTGCAGTGGGTTCCCACACTTGCCTCTCTTTTCAACCTGGGCTACCAAAGGCTAAACATCTTCTGAGGCTTCCTCCTTCAGAAGTTATGACTTACTGCTGACAAACCCAGCTACCCTACAAGGTGAAAATCATGAAGTTTCAAGTATTTTTCCCTCAATAATATTTGGGGTGGGAGGCACTAAAGAAGGGGAAGGGAACAAGGAAAAAAATGCAAAGTCACAGTTACCTTTCCTTGCTGCAGCCTCTTTCCTCAATTTCCTCAATTTCTCCAAAGCCCGAAGAATGTCCACCATTCTTTTGGTATCTGCTTGTTTTTTCCTCACTTCAGATAGTACGCCATCAGCGGCTGCTTTGAGTTCCTGCTCCTGGAGGAGAAACAAAGCCCATGAGATCTCATATTAGGAACAAACTTAGAGCAGAGAATAGCTGCCCAGTGGTTAGATTTTAAAGGATCAGACAGTTTCCAGGTTAAGAGAGACTCTACTGAATCTACATCCCTATTTCCTAGGCCTTGCACAACTCCTCTCTAGCTAAGAGGTTATCCCCTTCCACTGATGGTACAACCTTCATCTTAAAGAGGAACCTCTCCTCTCTGTATCTTCCACATAGCACTGGTTTTGTTTCTTCCTCAGTGTTTCTCAAAGTGCAGTGCAGGGAGCAGGTGTCCAACTTACCTTGTTAAGCTTAGACTCTTGTTAAAAATGCAGACTCCCTAGACTTGAAGATTCAGATTCCCAGGGAGGATAAGGAATGTGGCTGGAAAGGCTGAGACCTCTACAAAGGTCTCTTAGTGACAACCTATGTTTGTGCTGCACTGCTCTGAAGTCCTAGGAATCTCTTCCATGTGACAGCTTTTCAAATATCAAAGATTGCTATCCTACTCTAGACTTAGTTCACATACAGACTAAACAACCCCAGTTCCTCAAGCCACTCCTCATTAAGACTCTCTCCAACATCCTCATCATGGAAGCTGGGCATAATAACTTGTGTCCCTAGCTATTCCTACTCAGGAGGCTAAGGCGAGAGGATCACTTTGAGACCAGGAGTTCAAAGCTACAGGCTATGACAAACCTACTGCACTCCAGCCTGGGCAACAGAGTGAAACTTTCTATTTTTTTTGAGACAGGGTCTCATTCTGTTGCCCAGGCTGGAGTGCAATAGTGTCATTACAGCATCACCATGCCCAGTTAATTGTTGTTTTTTGTAGAGACGAGGTTTCTCCATTTTGCCCAGGCTGGTCTGGAACTCCTGGGCTCAAGTAATCTGCCTGCCTCAGCCTCCCAAAATGCTAGGATTATAGGCGTGAGTCACCGC